ATATATATATTACGGGGTCCAGTGATCCTTCAAGTACAAATAGGTCCGCCTTTAGATATACATAATACACTTCGTGTATGCTTTTGTATTTGGGATATGTGAGCTACTTTACTTGGACAGTGTAACAGGCTAACAGCACGTGATTTCCAATTATCTGGCCGGAACTCATGGAGCTTTGTATTTTCATTTTTTTTATTTCTTTTTTATTTAGTTTGTTTTAAAGCAAATAAAATTCTATCATTTATTCCGTAAAATTACAATTCTTCATCCTTTGTGTTAAATGCAAATATCCAAAAGGTAACATTATTAAATCTGTGTTAAGATTTTACAAGAAAATAGATGCTTTTATTTTCTCTAGAACTACAATGAAAAGCCTGAACAAAATCGGTGAAGTCAAATTCTAAGAAACGTAAATTAATTAAAAGCTTGAATAAAATTATGAATCACAGTAGTAGTATTAATGAAGCTCAAGTTGCAAAGAAGTAATAAATATTACTATAATCCAGTATCTACTGCTGTAAAAGAAATTAAGGAGAACTTCATTAATTGAAGAATTGATGAAAAAGAAGAAAACCCCTATAGCCTAAGGATAAGATCGTATTATTAGCATTTTTGAATGTTATTAGCATGAATCATGCACGGAAAAAGCATCATCAGTACCCTGAGAAAAAAGCATTATATTTTTATTCATATAGCATAATTGGTTATGATAAAAATGAAATAAAATAATAGATAGTATGTGGTATAGGTTGAAGAGTATTCCACGTAGGGGTGGGCATATATCGGGTAAAAGCGATACCCAAACCGTTAATTACTTATTAGGTTATCGGTATTGGGTTATTGGGTTAACGGTTCGGTAACGGGTAAAAAAAAATTTATTGGGTTATCGGTTCGGGCTCGGTTTAGCAATTCTGTTATTGGGTAAACCGATAACCCAATAAGGGTTTACTAATTTACTAGTTTACCGTTAAGTATATACATACTAGGGTTTCATATACATGGTTCAATTTCTCTCTCAGTTCTTTCTCCGCCTCACTCCCTGTCACCCTCACCGTCAGTCTTCAGTCCTCACTCCTCACCAGTTCTCTGCCAGTCCGCCACCGGCCACACGGCTCAAGCCCTCACCAGTTCTCCGCCTCACGGCTCACGCCCCCACGGCTGAGCCCGTCAAGACTCAGTTTTCTATTATCTTTTTCCGGCAGAGCATTGCACTAAGGTCAGTGTTTCATATCCCATTTCTGAATTCGTCTTAGTTTGGTATCTTAGAAACACTGATTTAGGCTTCCGTTAGAAATTAATTTTTGCATATTTACTTGAATGATTTTCTAAATCTGTAGTTATATCGGTATCCAATTTCTCCTTTTCGTCTATCAAATGTGAGTAGGAAGAAACTGAAGCTTCTCTTTTCTGTACCTTTTCTGTTATTGCTCTTGACTGCCTTTTTTAGGACTACTATCTACTGCAAACACCTAAAGAGAATAGGAATCAATACATGAATTTTTTAAGCCCCTTTTAGTTTTTAATAAATTGAATGTATAAGGAACAAACACATAAATAAAGTTAAGATCCATTTCATTCACAAGTTCAGTGGATTAAGTTATAGAATAGACAAAATTATGAAGGGGAAGGGGTGTAGACGTGTAGTTGTACTGCTGATATTTTCATTCAGTCAGTTGATAAAAACAAACTACTACTAAGTTGTCAGCTGCTTCATTTGTGATGTTGTGTTTGGAGATGTGGTACTTTCAGATTTTGGTTTTAGTTGCTGGTTTGCTACCAAATCCTGAAGTGGCATTGTATTCTCTAACTGTTTGGTGAGAGGGATATCTTGTTGTAAATTAGTTACCTCTGCATTGTGTTCCATTTGGGTTAATGTGTAGTTGATGATCATAGAATTTGCTAATACTCGATATGTTACTGTCACAACTTTGCTTTTCTGTTTAGTGTTCATAGCTGATTTCTCATGTGTGTAGGATATACACATAGTACGTACCCACTGCCATCTTTATCAAAATACTGAAATGCAGTAAATAGATTTTCGTCTCTTTCTAGCCTGTGCTTATGCATGGTGGTGGTGATGAATTGATTCAGTGTAGTCAATTGAGCCATTTCCATCCACATCGGCCTGAAGTTTACTAGACATGAGATATTATAATTGTGAAGGAAAGAAATGGTTAATACTGTAACATTTAGGAGTTGTTCTGCCTTACAGCTTCCATCAATTGCTTGACTTCAGCCTCTGTGAGCTTTGGCAAAGGCCATGGTAATATATATCAGCACTCTTAATTTTAGTTTTACCTTATCTGGTAAACCGATAACTGAACCGATAATGATCAATAACCGATTAACCGATATCTTATCGGTTTGCTTATCGGTTTATCATATTTATAAACCGATAACCGATAGGCAAAACCGATAATATTCATAACCGAACTGAACCGACCGATGCCCACCCCTAATTCCACGTTTGACCATGTCCATTTACATGTTTTTTGCCGTTAACGTCCATTTTAGATTTTAATAAGGACTTTTTTGATGGCTTGTACAAGTATGCGGACCTTTTTAGAACCACCATTAAAATTTTGAATCCGATAAGAAAAATACTGAAAAGATAGTGTCCGGCCAAAATTTTGGAAAGTACTCCTGGCGATTGAAATTTTCCCATATGAAATTCTAACGATTATCATATTTTGTGACAATCCTGGTAATCACCATACGAAAAACTTTGCTGACTGTCATATTTTGTGGTAAATCTTGATGATCACTATATGAATTTTTTTGACAATTATCTATTTTTCTAATAATCTTGTTATCGGGATTCTTCTAATGAATTTTTACCTCCTATAGCAAAGGTTAACATCTTATTTATTTTAAATAAATACCATTTAAAAAAATTATATTCTATTGATACCTTTTAATGTTTATGCAAAATATCTAATTTTGGTTACCTCCTACCCCTAAGCCACTAAATACGCTAATCAGTTACAATATTTTCTTTCTCTCTCTACTTTGATACATCCCATTCTCTTCCCCCATTTCCTGAAAACACGATGCTCAATCTAATTCACTTCTCTCGGCTGCACCACCTCTTCCCGCCTTCCTCCTCCTTCCGCCGCCACTTCTGCCGTTCACCTCCACTTCCCCCCCCCCCCCCTTCTGCTACCTCACAAATGAAAGCTCAAAACTTCTCTTTATTGCACCCATAAAAATCCATCTAAACCACAAGAAAAAAAGGGGGAAAAAGTTTTTTTTTAATCAATTCCCTCTTTCCTGAATCTACTGACATATTAGACGTAATATCAAGAATTCAATAATGGAGTGGCGTCCGTTTGATGTCACTGTGATCTCCGCCGCAGGCATAAAAAATGTCAATTACTTCTCCACAATGGATGTTTACGTCGAAGTTTCAATCGTAGGTTATGCCAAGAACACAAAGATTCGCGAAAGAGTTAAGGGCTTTTGCTCGACGGCGGATTCGCCGGAAATTAGGGTTTGTTCTTGAACAAAGACGACGGAGTTTGGGGCTGAGCAACTTGACTTTCTGTTAATATATTTTAATGTTTTTTCAACGTATCACGCTGTATTTTCATGTATTTCATTGTATTCATTGTCTTTTTTTTCATTGTAATTCAATGTATCTCGTTGTATTCCATGTATTTCATTGCATTCACTGTCTTTTTTTCTCATTGTATTTCAGTGTATCCCGTTGTATTCTATGTATTTCATTGTATTCACTGTCTCGCTATATGCCATGGATGTATTCATATGTTTTTTTTAATTAATATAATTTATGTATTCTGATGTATTNACCGAGGCATGCACATCACCGCCTCTTCCACTCCTAGTTGTAACCGCCATCACATGATTGTTACCCCCCCTTCGGGTTCACTACCGTATCACTTGGTAGCGCACCTTTTGGTCGGATATTTAAAGCTTGAGAGATTTGTCCTATTTGCACCTCTAGGTTCCGGATAGATGTGTTATGCGAAGCCAATTGTGCGTCAGAATCTTGGTTCTTTTTCATCATCTGCTCGAACATCATTTCTATCCGTCCCATATCACTTC